GTCCTAAAGACCATAGGCGCCATGGGCCGACTGCAGTCATACATCAAGCGATGACTATGCTTCAAAAATCATTTTGTCCGACTCTGTACTACTCTCGCCCTTTGCCTCAGATGTCTACTTCTTTGTCGTACATCTCGTACCACACGCATGCGACATGAGCGACAAAGCGACGCAGTTGTAGATACACCATCCCCAACTGAGGGAATCTCAGAAAGCGGAAGACCCATAACCGTAAGAACCTTGAAGCCATCTTGGAACCATGGGCCTTAGTAATTCTACATACCTCAAAAATCAATGACACCCAAAACCATGAAAACTCGCACCCTAAAGCTCGAGCCTCATAGACTCTTCAAGAATCATTTTTTGGGCCCCAAAATAGATTTATGAAAGACAATCTTTCCAACGGTTCAAGAATCGCTCGAATATGATGGACGGTTTGGAAGTTATGGCCCCTGAAAAATGACCTTTTAGTCCCTGGTGTCAAGACCACCAACGCCAGAGAGGGGACCACCAATGCTAACAAACCGTAGAATGCCCAAGTTAGGGCCGGCAACGCCCAATGCCATAGCATTAGGACCACCAACGCCCATACCGTTGATAACAACGCTAGAGAAAACAATGGCACTAAAGCCCCCAACACCCAAGTCGGGGATAGCAGCGCTGTCAGCAACAGTGTGTCCAAATGGTTAGCCTGAACCACTGACTTGAAGACGTACCAAAAAACAAGGACCGAAGCCTCACGTGAACATAATGTTGGTGGCAGTCACACAGGCATTAACAGTACCAAAGCCAGCAACCAGACAAACCTGACACATGTGGAACAGTATTTTCAATAAGTAAGGTAGTACAAATAATTGAAATATGAATAATTAGGCATGGCATTGGTGGTGCCAACGCCTGAGTCAAGGGTAGCAACACGACCTAAGGTCACCCCCACACATCCGAAATAGTGTTTCTATTAAATGGGAAGGACCAATTTTTTAAACTGAAATCATTACAACTTGCGTTGGCAGTGCCCACGCCTACGTCTGCAGTAACAACATTGAAGGAAGAACAGAATGTGGCAACAACTTTGGCATCAGTGCTGATGTCGCCACCAATCTTCGACCCCCAATTATTGAAAATAAAGTGATATGGGGTGGCGTTGGCTGTTCACTGGAACAATGTTCGCATTGATGAAAAGAAGCGTATTACACATGCCGAAATGATTCACCGATGGCAATGACATTGTAGAAGTGACTTCAAAATGATTGATGGCACTAAATGGTGGTGTTCTTGGTGCTAACTCTAGTATTGCCACCGGTGGTGCTGAAAATTGACGGCTCGGATTAACTTGAAACTATGTGACATTGTTGAAGGGTTATTTTTCTATTAATAAGAGCCCTGGGTGTCAATTTCGGACACTGGGAGAGACTTTGAACCCTAGCTGAAACTTTGATGCATTCAATACTTTAATCTTAGACCCTGAGACCTAAGCCCGACCCTAACCCTGACATCCTTAAATCCTAATCTCAATACCATCATGCACTAATCCCCCTAATACCAATCTCTTCTACCCAACGGATTCCAAAGAGATAGAAAAAGTCGGTGCACCAAACACGATTCTAAACTGGACACAAACTCCCGGTGCCGAGCATGGGGGAACAACTTAATGTCAGATTTCGTTACCTATCCTCATTTCATTTCCAGACTATTTGAAAGCCTTTTCCTAAATCTTCCCTCTCTTTCATTGGATAATTATTTTTAAATATTCTAGTAGATTCTTGGTTTTCTCACCCTACAAGCCGGTTTTGCTGAGCGGTCCAATGACCATAATATAATTCAACGGGACCCTTATTCTCTACCTACTTATAGACGAGTTCGCACATGAAAACGAAGTGGAGATCGTGTTTCCTCTACCAAAATTTTCCCATAGAAACAACATGTTTGTAAGGCTTTAGTCAGTCAATAGGGTAAAGCAGCACAAATGTTTCAGGTGAGAGTTAATCTCTACGCTTAGAGTTTAGAAACAAGGAGAATGAAACATGTGCAGATCAGCAAATTTCTTTACATATGTTTCAGGTGGGAATTAACTGACTATGGTTATTCTTCACCACATGAATAATCTCAAAAAATTTGAAAAAAGTGATATGGAGATGTAACGTGTCAGGGATTAGATTAACAAGCATGTCAATCAATAGCTCTGTTTGAGTGCAACGCATAATAAGTTGCTATTACTCTCGAGAGCCATAGCCAACAACCACATTATCATGAAAGTATGGTCCACAAAGTATCTCTCTCTCTAAAGTCAGGGTGTTCTATGTTATCCACATATTTCTTTTTTATGATTTTTCTCTTGATTAACATTTTATTTTCCATCCACACATTTGAACCTAAACGAGCCACACAAGAAAGAAATGGACTGATGATCAAAAGCAAGGTCCTACACCTTCATTTATTCAGTTCTTTAAAGTAGAAATTACTATAAATTGAGAAGCGGCTTCCTCTAAAATAATGTCCAAATGATAACACTTGAAAGGAGTTTAAACTTGATTCCGACATTCAAGGGAATAAAAACACACCCACACACACATATATCAGTTTCCCTTTAGCTCCCACTTTTTTTTTAGGCGAGTCAGTGGAGTAAGGGCCTAAAGCCTGCCCTTGATAGGAATTGAGCCTAGTACGTGGCGTTGCAAATCGTCAAGCACTAACCTGCTGCAAAAGATAAACTAATTTGCAAAAGATTTTGATCCATGAGTCATGAGAGCAGTCTATTAACAAAAATTCTACTACTAGGGATTAAAAAATTTTCTGTATTGTGACATTGCATCCAATGGATAACAGAGAATACCCCATTGTAAGGCATAAACAGAAATGGATACAGCATCAAAAACCAACATCTTTCTTCATGTTCTTTTTAACCTTAGAACCCATATCCATCTTGTGATGAAAGCTGATGAGAAAAACCAGAAAGAGAAAAAGAAAGGTCTATATTTTCAAATGGTGTTCTACAAGGCTCATAGAATTCAACGCACATAGTGGAAGCACCAAAAGGCTCCCGATTAAAAACTGACATCTACACCATGAATTTGAACTAAACTTTCCAAAATTCACTCTCAACCCTAATGCCAAAACAGTGAAACCCCAAGGAATGAAGAATATCATTGCACAAGGAGTTCGAGAGAGGGAACGAGTTGCTGCATCTTCTGCGGAGCATTTGAAGACAACCAAATCAATTTGTGACAATTCAGATTTAGTTGACGAACCAAAAGGTTGTCTCTCAAGATATATTAGATCAATATTTTATTCACAAAATCCAACAACATGTAGCTGAAAATTAACATCTTTAATTTGGTCTAAAGATGACTGTTGAATTTGATCAATATACTAGCATTTGCTTGAGCTTCTGTAGCCTTTCCCGACCAATATTCTCGACCTGCAACAAGGAGGAGCTGCAAACCTCGATCATTTTTTGATACATTTTTTCTCTCCTAAAGAAAGACCATTTTCTAGGTCTTTCTTTCATAATTATTTTTTCAAATTTGTATTTATCAGGATCAAGAAGATCATCATCATCTACGCTTTATCTCAACCATTTGCGGCTGGCTACATAAATCCATTTTACTCTATTAAAGATCATACCCTCAATATGACAGTAAGCTCTTTTTGAGTAAATGAAACACCATAAGCTATTATCACTACTTCTATCCATACCCTTTTAGGCATTCCCCGTATCCGTTTAGAGCCTTCGATTTGAGTGAAATCGCATTTCCTAACAAGTGTTACACTAACCTATGCTTCGTACTTCCTAACCAATGTTATACTAGACTTATGTTTCACATGACGAGTCTACTTTCTTTCATCTTATCACCTATTGAAACCACACCTAAATTTTTTCAAATTTAATAATTCCAAAATCTATCTTTTCTTTTGAAACAATCGCAACGGTAAACAAATGTTTTCCCCATCTTACGGTGAAGACAGCTACATGGGCCCTCCTTTGTCAATTTGGGGGACTTTACGACCATTTGTTTCACCCAAACCTAGCACACACATCCTTTTGGCCTCTATGGAGAATCCAGTTAGAAATTTACAAATTTTGGGGGTAAAAGTGACCACGAGAGCCTCAATCTCGCATTATCTGTTTTTTTCTTAAATTGGATGGCTCATATTTATTACATTTTTTTCTTTCTTAAATTGGATGGCTCATATTCATTACATTTGTTTCTCCTCAAAATAATACCACTTTTTTATATTCTATTCCAAAACTTTCCTGATCTTCGTAGACAAGACCAAGAGGTTGGCTCATATTCATTTGTTTCTCCTCAAAATAATACCACTTTTTTATATTCTATTCCAAACTTTCCTGATCTTCATAGACAAGACCAAGAGGTTTTATGCTAAATTTGGGTTCAATGCCTTCAAAACCACCTTCAAGAAGATTGAGGGTCCCTAATTCAAAATGTCGATCTCAACTACCGCAATCTTGAATTAGAAAAAAAATAAATTTCTAATCTTAAGATCGGTTTATCTTGCTCCCTTTTTTCAACATATTTTAAGGTATTTAAAAATCATTATAACTATACCATTTTCCCAAGCTTTAAATCATGGATTTGAGGAGTAAAAATGGATTTGCACAAAGCTAGAATATATTTCAGGTCCTAAAACCATGAACCGGCAAATTTGCCCAAAATCCACGTTTGAAAAGAGCATTTCAATTCTCTAGACATTCAATTTTCAAGATTTTTAAGTGTCATCAGATCTGCTTAATCTACACTATTTTTTAAACTTCAAATTTTTTAATTAGAGATGAAAATAAATTTCAGGCCATCATAAACACTTTCGATGTTAAAACATCTGTTGACATTATACAAACCACACCCTATAAATAAAGCACTAAGAGGTCCCTTTGCATTACACACGACACTCTACTCCCTCTCAACACACCACAAACTAATAAGATAAACTAAGAACAAACACCAGGTAAAGAGAGTGAGACTGCAGCACAAAATCTCAGAGAAAACGAAAATGGAAGCCTTCACACTACTTCCTCTCTCATCATAAATTCTCCTTCCAAACACTTTACATTTACAGTGTATGATTCAAAACCCATCATAACATTGTAACTACCTATATATTTCTATGTGTGCATATTCATTCTTAAGGCATTACATCAAGAAAGCAAAAAACAAAAAAAAAATGGAAAGAAAGCCTGGCCCAAAAAACCATGAAGATGGGGAAATCAACCCAAAAAAAGAAAAGAACAAGAGACCAAACAAGCGGGTAAGTGATAAAGACCCCCCCAAAACCTCCATTAATACTTCTTTCATCCTGTTAAAAATCTGATATTTCTTTTGTAGTGTGAAAATTGGCTAAACAGGCTTGCACCTCTGCCTGATCCCCTTGTCTTGAAACCTTGGAGCTGCAAAAACATAAATCATCAAAAACACCAACTCAGATCACACAAATCATCCGGATTTCACAGGCGTTAATTGAATTGAGTAAAATGGGTCTTTTAGGAAGAGAACTTCTCTTTTAAGGGCAAACAAAATGGTTTTTAGTAGAAAGAGATTGGGTTATTCATGGGCAATCAAGAGCAAGCTTCCCACATTCAAAGAAAATGGATCTAAAGATTTACCAAGGAAAATTTAATGCATCTTTTGATGAAATCGATCGCATAAGACGACCATAAGTGTGTATATATAATTAACTAAGCAGATAAGTTATTTCTCAGATGTTCAATGTACGTACCGAGTCCATTGGCTTCGGATGTTCTCATGATTCTAAGCCTCTTAACAGTGCTCAAAAACATCCTGAATAAACACCAGATTATTGAGAGATTAACACATTTTGATGACTTCAGTCATTAAAAGGGGAGGGGGAGAGAGAGAGAGAATAAGACTCACCCCCATGGAACATCTCCCACGAGCATCCAGTCTCCTTCTTTGTCTTCATAGGTGAGAACAAACTCAGAGGAACCATCCAAAAGTTTAGATGCCTTGGACTCAACACTTAGCCCCCCGTGCTCCTTCTCCAAGGCACTGTGCACCCCAGTTTGGCCTATTGCATTGAACCCAATATGCAAAACAAAACCAGATTAATAAACAACTGATAAATCTCTCTCTCTCTCTCTCTCTCTCTCTCTCTCTCTACCCACTAAATGACACTGTTCCCTTTTACCTTCATAGCAGGTATAAATCTACATTCTAGCCAAGGGTGAGAAGCCCAAAAAACTTAAACTCTAGCCAAGTGAGAAGCCCAAAAAGAGGCGAGACATGCAGAATAGACATTCACTAAAGACAAACCGAGGAAATGAGAGTGAGGAGAAAGATAAAAGAGTAGAAATAAATTGTTTCACAAAATAAAAATAACCAGAAAAAAAAAGAGACCAAATCGTTGCAGAATTTAATCCAAATCTTCAATCATGAAACGCTGGGCTCGAGTCTGGGCTAAACATGAAGCCAAGAAATAATCAAATAAAAAAGCAAAGGAGTAAATCCATGAATCCAAAATGCATATCTGAATTGGCTGACAAATACATGTGCTTCAGCAATTATTAGCTGTTCAAAACCTTGAGACTACAGAAATCAATAAACCTTCAAACCTTCAAAGCTCAAAGTAAAAAAATCAAGGAAACAAATAAATGCATAAATTTATAAACCCAATTAGATTTCACATCTAAATCAATGAATTGTGCCCCCAAAAACATAAAAAAAAAATAAAGAGGGAGATAATAAAAACTTACGGATGGAAGTTGCTGTAGGGGACTGAAACATGTCCTCCAGAGCTTGAGCCAGTGTTTCATAACAGCCATGAGCATTGAGATCCACTTTCCTGCCTATAGGAAGTCCATCCATATTCACCTTCACAAATTGGGTTATCACTTTCTCGGCCCTCTGAATTGCCGTGTTATTGTTATTGATGTTCTCACTCTTCTTATTAATAGTATTGGTGCTGCTCATTTTATCATCATAGTTGCTCTCAATGTTCTCCACAACAGGAACCCTAGATTGGGTCGCAAGGCTGTTCATCCTATATGCCCTAATAGGAGGCCAGCCCACCACCTGATTGCTGAAAATAAGAGAGACAAAACCCAATTGAGAATCACATGACTCACATATATACGGAGGGAAAAAAAAACCTAAAATTTCTCTCATAAGAACACCCAAATACAACCCCATAGAAATTTGCAGTGGATAAAATGCCTAGAAGACTGAAGCATATGGCCTTCTTTTCTAAAAGAAAGTGAGCTTCACCTTAGCAAAAAAGAGGAAACACTCTTTAAGTGAGATGAAAATAACACAACATAGAAATCACAGTGAACATATTTCTCATTTTACCCCATTTTATTTTATGAGCCTTATGAAAAATCAAGAAACCCAAGTTCAAACTACAAAGTACCCACAATTCAGATAAAAAAAACAAATAAATCCTGCGAGATACAAAGTACCAGAAAATCAATAAGAAGAAGAGAAATCATTACAGGAAAGAAGCAGCAAAAAAATAAGGATTGAGGAAAACCCTCAACTTCCAATAATGATCGAGGAAAACCCTCATCTTTAAATTGGTATGTGTTTTTTCTTTCTCAGTAAAGAATGGAAAAAAGGAACAACCAGAGAATAATGCACTCCCCATCACAACAAAATTCCTAAACACTCAATTTAAAGTTAAGATACATGCTTAGAATTTATAGCCTCATTTCCACAGTTTAAAAAATCAAATAAAAAATAAAATGAATATACGCCAGCCCCAAGTCATTAGATTTCCCAAATCAGCCAAGAAAACCCAAAATGAAAATATCAAATAAGAAATAGGGAAGGAAAAAGAGCACCAACAAATCATTTCTCCAAAACATATCCTTTATCATTGAATAGGTAAAATAATGAAAAGAATAAAAATTTTATGAGAAAAAAAAACATGTCGATCAAGATCAAAAACCAGGAATTAAATAAATCAAAATAAATAATTTCAGAATCTCATCCCCCCATTTTCCCCTACTATCATGGATAAGAAAAATCAGATTCAACCCATTTCATAAAACCCAATGAAACAATAAACAACAAACCTCCGAAGGTTCTTAAACAACTGACAATGGACATTAAACAACAAAAAACACAAAACCAATATCACCAAAAGGTCAGAAAACCACCATGTTTGTCTCACTTCATCAATAACAGATAAAAATAATCAAACATGAAACACTAAACCGTAAATGCAAGATAATATGCACCGTCAGGATCAGCAGGACTCCCCCATTTTTCATAAAATCCATCAACATTAAAAGAAATTAATCAAATAATGAGACAACATAAAATCAATGGACTCTCTCTCTCTCT